TGGAAGTTCAGTTAAAAATGTAAAACGTCTAGGACTTAGTTTAGAACATTTAGAGACACGCAAATGAAGATGAATTTCACATTGTTATCGGAAGTTAAAAGAAAATTATTTCTTTTCTCTTGTATTCGGTTTATGTTACCTATGTTATTATCAGCAGGCGTTTTTATTTCGAATTCGTACACCACCCATTGATTTGTATACATTCTTGTCCTTGTTTCAGTTTTTTGGTGTAAGTTTCTCGTTCTTGTTTCAGTTTTTTGGCGTAAGTTTCTTCTTCTTGTCCAGTTTATTTTTTTGGTGTAAGGATTTCGGCTGGTGGTTTTGCGACAAGGTTTTAATTTTAAAAGAAAAAGTATCTGAGAAAGGATCTCTTCCAGACGATTTTTAGCGGGTTACGAATATCCAAGGATTAAATAATAAAAACGGCTTGTCGTCTACTTATTGTATAACGTATATCGTGGCAGCAAATTTATTTGTTATCAATCTGTTTGATGAAATCGAGCAATTTTAAGTAAAGCATACACGTAAGTACGCTTGTATTATCGTGATGAAAAACAATATTTTGTCGGCTGATCCTGGACGTTTCTGCTGCAAGACTTCATTTAATTTGGTTGATTGTTCACAGTATATTTCACAATTAATTGCTTTTTTACGCGGCAAAAGCTCATAATACATAATATAATCCTAGCATACTGTCAGCAAAGTCTTCTTTCCGTGCATATCCAGTTTTGATGCTGTTTTGTACAGATTCCAGGTTTCATTACTAGTTACAATTCTTCTCAGATGCGGATCATTTTCCTTGTGATTAACAACACATTGCAGATATTAATCCGTTGTATTGAACGAATATATTTTAAATCATGCGTTGGGTGAATTACCTTTTTCTGCAATCTGGCGCGTTATTATGTATTGATCAACTTCAATCATAACCTTTAATTGACATACCGTTTGGCCTACAAGATCGCGTTCTGCTACAACAGTAATTCCATACACAGCATATATTTCTCTATGTGTTTCTTCAGCTCTTTAATCTTTTCTGAAATAAAAAAGAACCGTCTTTTACGCTTACTTTGATCTTTCATTTTAAAAATTATGTCTTACTACTGTAGCACAGCCGGTCACTTTGAAAGTTTTTTTCAAAATAGACGTAAGCCTGCTCTGCATAACTGTATGTATTTTTAACACTAATTATCTTTCTAGCTATTTGGGAAAACCTGCTGTCGGGAAAGACCGCAAGAAATTTTCGCACTGCCTATTAATATATATGTATATAATATATATATAATGCCCATGAAGCACTGCCTAGCAAGAAAAGCTTTAAAACGTTTTCAAAGTAGAATGTAGCTCGCTTCGACCGCTCTAACAATTCAGTGGGAGCATTTTGTTCACGTTTGGATGCGCCAATGACAGCTCAGAGGAGCAAAATGAACAGAATTTTATAACAACGATAGCTTTGAAAATCATGCTAGCGAATCGAAGATCATTGATCATAACCATGTCAAATCATTCTCCACCAAATGTGTCTTCGTCATCCTGCATTTTTCCAAATCAAACTTTTTTCGTTCTGGCATTACAAATTTTTTAAATTAAAAGAAGTCCAACCGTTTTTTCCGGACAATAACTTCCATTATTTTTCCCTACTTGATATTAAACTTGCTTAGTGTCTTTATAGATAGATTGTAAGTTCTACATGTAATTAAACAAAATCATGATAATATAAATATACCTAATGCGATATTCATGATTATCGATATTCATATTATTCAATATAACAAAAATGTATACGTAATATGTCATTGTCATAAGAGCAATCCTACAAAAAATGTTGTTTCAAATATACGTATATATATAAGAATCTATGAAAAAATAACTCATAAATAGTTAACACTTCTACAAATGGAGATTTCTTGCGGTTCTTGTAAATATTTCATAACTTCTGGATTAATTTCCCGACAATGTTTTCCAATAATGTACCGACCATCATCTAAACTTATATATCGCTACTATTAATATTCTATTTCAATTTCTGTCTTCCAGCAAAAAAGGCTATGGTCAAAAATTGTGTAAAATTTACACTAGGTATATAAGTAAGGACCAAGCTTCCACAGCTATCGAAGTGCAACAACAAAACCGTAGATGAATTTTAATAACGATGTAAACAAAGTAGCAAAATGCAACAGGAAACCACAAACTATATATTACAAAATATGTAAGACAAATATATATATTAACGCTAAAATTTTTAGTTTTTCTTGTTCTTTTTTTATGTTTCTTGCATATCGCACTGTGCTTTCCGAACTTTAAAAATAATTTTGTAATTTTATTTTTGCAAGGAACCATGAAAAGCTTCCTTAAAAAGCTCAAATTTTAAAAGCTTAATAAGAAATTTGTCGAGCATTTTAAACTGTTATCGTTTTGCAATCTGCAGGGTTGTAACTTTCGATTTTGTTTCATTCCATTATTGCCCTATTTCAAAAATTCTGCAAAACGTAAAGCAATTTTTAATAGTCCTTTGCGATTTATAAATATAATTATAAATTTATATACTTGTATAATTTATAAATCTACATACATATATAGCTCTGCAAATAATAAATGTATATATATAGTTGCCCTTGTCAGTTTTAGATGCCTCCTGGAAGTTATATATCTGCACATAAATATATTTTGTAACTTTTAAGTGCGCATAGGATTAATACGCTTTTTGCGAAAAACACAAAGTATGTAAGAAAACAAATAAAGTGTTAAAAATGATATGCTTTATTAATATAAGCCAAAAACAATAAAACCTGGTCGGTTAATAGGAATTGAATGGGAAAGGAATAACATTTAAACAGTAAGTTCATGTTCAAAACAAGAACAAGGAAATAAGCAAAACAATTTGTTGCTAATCTAAGGGTACAAACTTAAAAAATATTTTACATAGAATACGAAAAAATCGGTTAAATATGGTAAACTGTCGCCACAGGTGACAATTAGGTAATTTTATTTAATTGATTATAAGGGCAATTTGTTTCCTTCAACAATTTTGGGAAATTTTTTTCAGTCGACATGCAAGGCATCTTGATTAGATTAATTCACTTAATCTCCACAAGCAAAAGAAAACATACCGAAAAACTACATCTTAGTAGTTCAGTGCAAATTGCCGACAATTGATGAAATTTTAAAACTTGTCATGCATGAGCGAAAACTGTATACACAAATACCCAAATATATTTTATAACTGGTCTTTTTTCTTTTCTCGATTAAAAGTTTACCCGCTTTTTTAAACAAAAATAATGTTTCATGGCAAAAATAATCCTGATACATTGAGCTTTGTATTTTGGCTTTTGATAAACAGAGAGCGTAAGTAATTTTTGCATTTTTTCTTCATTACTATCCTTTCGGCATCGCAATATAAATGCAAAGTAGAGTTTACATGAAATTCAAAATATAAATGCGAATTAGATTTTATATGAATATCGAAAAAGCATTTTCAAGTTTGGCGAGTCATAAGGCTTGTAATGTTATTTTCAAATTTTATTATTATAAGATAATACATAATTTTAAAGCTCATATCGCTTTATCGTTAAATGTTCTTATTCTTTCGGGAGTCTGCAAATCAGCAAAAAATGATTTAACGAGTTCAGTTTTTCAAATAATGCGTACTATTCTTTTCAGAAAATCAATGTTTTTTCGATCTGGCAAGTTCGTTGTGATATTGCAATAAAATTCACCGAAATCTACATGAACAAATCACAGCAAATGTGTTACCAGTTTAACTTAGTGGTGGCTTTCAGGACAAAAAATAGTAGCGCTTACAACAAAAATAGTATAGCTTACGACAAAAATAGTATAGCTTACGACAAAAATAATATAGCTTACAACAAAAATAGTATCGCTTACAACAAAAATAGTATAGCTTACGACAAAAATAGTATCGCTTACAACAAAAATAGTATAGCTTACGACAAAAATAGTATAGCTTTTACGACAAAAATAATAAATGTTTAATGAGAGAAAAGCATAGAAAAACACAGTGGAAGAGATAGACAACAAATAGCAACGCATGCACAAACAATCAAATAAAGCCAATTGCACAAAAATCCAATTGCAGTGACGCCATTTTGAAAAACGTCACGCACTGAATAAACAAAAAAGGAATTATAAGTTAAAAAAACTTTTAAGCAAAAGAAGAGACCAATGTTTTGTTAGCTAAGCAGCAGAAGAAGCAACAAAAATTCTTAAGCGAAGCTGAAAATAGAAACGCAGTCAGAATACTTCTACATATGTTAAGAAACTTCAATTGCGAATTGATCGAAACAGTTCAATGCAAATCATAATAAATATATCAATAGCGACATATAGATCTTTAGCATGCAACAGAATACGCTCATTTGTTTGTTAGCCTAGGTACCTGTCTTCATATGCTGTGACTCATATTGGTATTGCTACCTCAATTACCAATAGCCTGGTGACTCCAGCCTATGCCTTTGCAAAATGTGCAAAGTTCGCTACTGTGGATTGTTTAAAATTAGCAACAACTATTAGCGTTTTTTTTTTACTTTTATATGAAGTTTGTACGTTTGTATGTGTTTTATACATTTTATACATTAACATTAACCACGATTAACAAAATGTCGTTTAGAAGGTAAGTGTCAAAAATTGTAAAGAGAGTGAATGTGTTCAGAGCAAATAAACGATAATTACTCAAAGCGAATATAATATCATTGTTATGTAGGGGTCGTTGAACTTTCTACTAAACCGTTAGACTAATTGTTAATTATTTTGCCTGTACATTTCATGCCAATAATCCACGATAAAAGAACAGATCTTCGATTTTAGTTTAGTTTCAGTCTTGAGAGTGAACTTGATAGTAAAATAAAATAAAGTGAATTTTGACTAAAAGTTAAAAAAAAAAATAAAAAAAAAGAAAATAAATATATGTGAAAAAGAAAAAAAAATAATATAAAATATAATATAAAAGAAATATTGATATTCTTACAAATGCCTCTTTATAAAAATTTACAACAATTTCAGTTGTTTGTTATGAATATTTTGCTTGTTTTTGAAGAAGTGAAAAAAATTGTAAGAAGTATTTTATATACTTGCACTAAGGAAACGTTTTAGTTTCTGATTTTTTTTTTTTGCTAAAAATTTTAAAGTAAGTTCGAGTTAAACATAAAGGAGAAATAACGCGGTTCGTTTGATTTTTATTTTCTTTCAAAGCTTTTCCAACTTCTACACGTCTTCTACACACCAAAATTGCGTATGCTAGCGCCTTCACCAACCTTTGGCTTGCGCTTTTTGTAACTTTAAGCATTCATTTTAAGCGACGCACACGTCTCATTTTCATATCCACGACACAAATCACCAGCAAACTCCTGTAGTCGTCACTTTATTATTGCTCTAATTATTCCTTGTCAAAAGAATTATGATTTCGGTTATTAATAAATTTATGTATCCATCGACTGCCTCAGTAGCCGCGGCGACTGCTGCAGCTGCTTTGGCTTCATCTAGTGGAGCACCCAGTGAGACGCAAAGTGAAATATCATCTGCTGATAGTGATTGGAGTGATGTTAAGACAATAGCTAATAAGTTGGGTGTTGCGAATCCAGAAGAATTGCATACCGAACGTTTCAAAGTGGATCGTCAAAAATTGGAGCAAATGATAAAGAGTAAGCCATGTAATTTTGGCAAAAAAAATTTGAAAAAAAAAATTATTAAACTTTCATTCTGCAGCGGAAAGCTATATCGAGGATCTAAATAGCGCTGAGTTTTTCTTTGAAAGTGTGAGTTTCATTCAAAAGCACCTTAATTGCACATTTTATCAAAAACTTCCACAAAAAGTATATTTAGAAAAAAATCAAAACTAGTCCTATACAGTGGAAAATTTTAACTCATATTGGTCTTGTTCGTTTGTTCATTTGTTAACCGAAAAAATTGACTTTATGTCCAATTCGTCAGTTAACTCAGCAACAATTGCCAAAAAGAAATTCTGGAACATTGTTCTTAATCTATGTGAATTATTGCGTATTAGACGTTGACCTACATTTAAAGTCAGATATCCGTAAGATTTTGCTATTCGGATCGAATCACTGAAAAATCAACTAAAGCAAAAAATCGTTTGAAACGATGAATACTTGATATTAATTCCCAGGCGAAGATTTTAATAAAGCCGAAAGCCTTAGATATGTTAGTGCTTTAAGATTTTAGACTTAGAATTTATTCTCCGGCTAAATTTACAATAATAATAATAATAATAATACATGTTTCTTTTATATTTGAATACAGGTCTCTAAAAGAACGGAGGTCCATGTAAGTTGGCCTTGTAGACTTAAAATCGGGGCCAAAAGCAAAAAGGGTAAGAGATTTATTATTTTCCATAATAATAATATTCAATTAAAATTTTTTCTTTTTTAAAGACCCCCACGTACGCATTGTGGGCAAACCCGAGAAAGTGGCTCGGGCTAAAGAACTTATTTTGGCCAGCTTAGATTCAAAAGTTAGTTCGAATCTAACAATATGTGAAAAACGTATGTTTATAATTATTTTGCTTCAAGGGCACTCGCGTTATTATGAAAATGGACGTTTCCTATACCGATCACTCTTATATTATTGGCCGAGGTGGCAATAATATAAAACGTATTATGGAGGAAACCTCTACTCATATACATTTTCCCGATTCGAACCGTTCTAGTGCTACCGAAAAGTCTAATCAGGTCTCTTTATGTGGTTCATTAGAAGGTGTGGAAAAAGCTCGAGCTTTAGTTAGACTGTCTACACCCTTGTTGATGTCATTCGAACTACCAGTAATGCCAGTAGACTCTGAACCTAATCGCGCCACACCGTACGTTGCATTGGTGGAGGAGAAATATAATGTACAGGTATATAAAAGCATATTATTCATCAATCTTACATAGCGTCTACAATTGTGTTTTCTTAATGTTTTTTCAGGTCATTTTTTCGTCACGTCCAAAACTACATTCCTCTCTTATTTTGGTTAAAGGATCAGAAAAGGATGCTACGCAAGTTCAAGAAGCTACTCAAACTTTGATCAATTTCTCTTGTGGCAATATAGCAGTTTGTATAATTTTTCAAGAAAATCGGCACTAAATAATTATTATTACCATTATTATTATTATTATACTTTTCGAACTTATCCGCTAATTATAAAATTTTTATTGTCTCTGATAGAACCAGATTTCAGTTCACATGCAATTGGAAATATCGCCCCAACATCATGATATAGTTAAAGGCAGAAATAATGCAAATCTATTGAGTATAATGGAGCGAACGAAAACTAAGGTGATTTCTATAAATGTTTATAATTTTTAATTGATTTGAGAAAAGTTTTATGCGCGACATGTGAAACTTCTCTTTCTTTCTTTAATTTAACTTTGAAATTCATCTAATTATATAAATTCTAGATCTTGCTTAGAAAATTACCCCCTTTTGAGTATTTGGAGTGTAATACAAATACTATTTTCATCCTTGATTCAATAGCAAGCATCCAACATCGAAATAATCTTTAAAAATTTTCAAACAATCATTTTGAAATTATATTTAACATGTTCATTCATTTTATATTTTACATAATTTTTATTTAAAAGCTTGAATTCTCTGAAAAATATTAAGAGAACTTCGAGACATAAGCTTACCGCAAATTGAAATCCGCATAACATAGCTGGTTGTTCAAAATTAATATCCAAGAATATTGTCCGTTTAGTTATTGGTCCCACTGATCAATGGTCATTTTTGAAATTTTCAATCCCTCGTTTCCAGCTTTCCTGCAGACATCATTTAAAACTAAACTAAGAACTTGGGATTACTTCGTACAATTGCGGAAAATTTTCCAAATGCATTCAAATACAAAATACCCATTTTTCGCCGATTAGGCTTGTTCCAACTCGTTAAAATTATGCGTTAAGATTCCTTAGAGAATCTAATGCACAGACTCCTTTCGCAGACGCTCTCGCCTTGGAATGCTTGCTTTTTTCCACAATTCGTATGTTGTAGGCATGTACAAGCTTCAACCTACGGTCGCGGTAAACCACTGTGATCAATAAGTATATGATGTTCGAAACGAAGTCAATTCGGCTCACACTGTTTTTAATATTTACATTCTACGTGAATGCGAAATATAAAGGGAAAATTGCAAATGCGTTTGATATTTTTGACGACAATCGATTGCGAGTTGTTTTTGATCTATTATGGGAAAATATCCGATTCGCCGATGAGATCAGATTATATCTTATTATGGTTACCTGTGGAATGAGGTGCCGTTTTTATTTGAAAGGAGATACGAGTTATTCCCGACAAAATTCAACGAGAGGCGCCTATATCATATATGAATAGTGTACAAGAAATTGTAGATTTACTTAAACCCATTGGAAACAATACAAATATTTCGAAAAACTGGATCGGACACAAATTTTTCACGCTAATAGCATCGAACACACATTTCACATGTTAACAAAATCGAAAATAAATTTCTAAATAAAACGGAATATATTACAAAAAAATTGGAAAAAAGAAAAAAGGGAAATACCAAACAAAATTCTATACTGCATTGAAAATTACCAGATTTACCAGAATTGAAGATGTGACGCCCTTAGCGAAACACTCTAATTAGTTGAAAATAAGCTTTCAATTCTGACATTCACGTTATATCAAATTTCTCGATTATTTTATTTCCTTATCTATTCCTTTTCTTGTAGATTATATTTCCTGATTTAAATGATATGAACATAAAACCCTTGAAGAAATCTCAAGTGAATATAACCGGCACCATAAATGGTGTTTATAGAGCTAGACAGCAAATAATAGTAAGTAAAAGAGAATTAACAAAGTTTTATTTACTTCACCAATATATTTCCGGTCTATTGCTCCGACTAATTGGTAGAATTTTTTCTTCTTCTTTTACATGTCATTCGCGTCGTATTATCCTTCTTTATAGATCGTGTAGGCTATAACATTTTTTGTCGCTAATTGTTTATCTTTCTGTTGGTATTTGTTTCATTTCCTGTGTTTTCCAGCGTTGACCATCTAGACTGTTCCCCTATCTTTTCTTAGGCGGTATTTTTTTCTGTTCCTCTCATTATGGTCTTTATAATTAGTTTCTAAATGTTCCTAGGGCAATTTACCGATTGCTTTGATTTTCGACTTTCCCGACAATGAAAATGAAGCAGCTTTCGTAATGAGTCTCCGCCCCAAGGACGGTGTCTACATCGGTTTAAGACAAAAACAACGACAGAATACTTTGGCAATTGTCGTCAAAAGCTTAGAGAAATTTATTGGTGAGCATTGCTATTTCAAAGATTGTTTATAACGGTGAGAAATGCCATATAATCGTGTCCATTTCCAGATAAAGCCTACCAAGCACGTCATGATATCTTAAGTCTGACAACACCACTGGTAAAGCCAGAAATACCTGATATGTATTTTATGCCACAGGACAACAATCTCCGCGTAGTAGATTTAGCTTTGCTGAGTTCACTGCTCGAAGTTCATACGGAGAATCAAAGAACACCTAAAGGAATGCCCAATTGGCGATTGTCATCACTAGACAATGCCAACGTCAATAAAAACGAAAAAATCAATGATAATCAGAAAACTTTAAATGAACAAAAACAAACAAAATTTACGTACGACTTGTACCCTACTACTCAAAAGAATGTATGTTTACCAACAGAGAAATATTTACAAATGCACAACAATAATTTAAAGCAGCAACAACAGCAACACGAACAACAAACAGCTTTTGCTGCCTCAATGATGGCCAATCCCAACAATAGTTATTCGCAAATGCTACCGCCACAACCGCCGCAGTCGCGGCATTTACCTTATAATTTACAGCAATTATCGCCTCGCAATAGTTGCAGTAATAACACGAGTGGTTATCAGAGTTATAGTAGCAGCACCACCTCGCTGGAGCAGGTTTATCCCCCCTTCGGTTTGAGTGGGCCGCAAGCAAATTTATTTGGAGGACAGCATCCTTCGAGTTTTTCGCCGGACTCCAACTATTCTAGTGAAGGAGCTGGCTCACGCGTTGGCCGCCGTTCAAGCGATGGTGTTTTACTAGGCTTAAATAATAACTCTTCTGCTTCAATGATATCAATGACACCAAGCAACGCTGAAAGTTATCGCAATCTACACTTTGATCCAAACATTTGTCAGGTAAATTGTTTGCTAACGATAAAATTATGTTTCCTCCGCCTTTTCAAGCAAATGTGCTTCTCCTGCTAATCTGCAGCGGACCTTGGGCTACAAAGCCATGGAACGTCCGCCGATGGCTGGTGACTTGCGTACGCCTAATACCATTTGGATGGGCATGGGTCTGAGCGGTACATCACCAGCACATCTTGGGACAGTAAGTAGCGTAAATTGGCCGCAGGGAGCTGGTATCCTGAATTCGCCTTATAATCTTGGTACAACAACGGGTGTAGTTGATTCAACACCAACCAACCGTCGCCTGCAATTGCACCAATGCAAAGATATTCAATCGGTACTTGTGGCTTTGGGCCTAGAACATTATATAAGTAAGCTTGAAGTTTTTATTCAGAAACAGAATTTTTCATATTTTTGTATTGTTTGTATTTTTACACAATTGCAGAAATTTTTGTTTTAAACGAAATAGATTTAGATATATTCACCACTTTAAGTGAAGAGAACCTTATAGAGTTGGGCATAGCTGCTTTTGGAGCCCGCAAAAAACTTTTGGTGGCCATACACACACTTCAGACCCATGAAGCTGCTAATTCCGTCATAGCATCGACTTCGTCTAACAATTCTTCACCACGTTTTTCGGGATCTGCTGCGCCAGGCGCAGAACGTAGACCCTCAAATCAGTGGTAGAAGCGAAAATATTTTTCTCTTATTTCTTTTTCTTTTCTTTTTTTCGATCAAATATTGCATGCTTTTTTGAAGGTTTAACTGAATTATTTTTTCCATTCGATTGAAAATATTTCAAACTTTTATAGACTGTTTTCAGAGAACACGAAGAGAAAAATATATTTTTTTTATTTTCAACTTCATATTTTATAACGAACCTGTAGATATTGAAGGACTTGTACTCGTCTCTGTATACAAAACAAAATGATTTTGAAAATCAATTTACGAGGAAAATTCTTACATGTTTTGATTGAATTGAAAAACATTTCTGAGAAAGTCTATACAAAATTGTTTTGCCACTAATTTTATTTTAATGCTGCTTATACGAATTAGATATCTTTTCTTCACTGCAATGGATATTTTTTTTTTTTTTTTTTTAAGGAAAATCTAAAACTTTCTTGAGTATTGCATTGAACTTGAAAATTGAATATTATACGAAATTTGTTAATAAAATGTGAATTTGTTTCAGTACTCATTAATTTAATAACATTTTTGTAACGAACGCTATCAGAGATAAATGATATTTACGGGTGGTATGAGTATGATATGAGTTCGTTAGTCTACCCAGTTTTGTCATAATAAAAAACGCAAACTTGGATAAGAAGTTGCAGTTCGTATACCCAAAAACCGTCGTGGCGGATTTGTCTATCACAATTTTCGATTTGAATTTTGAGTTTACTATTTTTTTAAAGAGTTGGGGTCCAGTATTGTTTTGAAAGTAAAAGTATTCGAAGCTAAGAGTAATAGAAAGTAATAGAAACTGCTAACAAACTGTGCAGACGATGTTTTCTTTTCTTTTTTTTGAAAAGAAAAAATAAAGTTTTGAGGGAGTCAGTCTGTTATGAGTGTTGCAATTATCAGTCAAATTGTTTTCAATTGTAAAAAAAAAATAGAGGGGAAAAAATATTACAATACAAAAAATGAATGGTTTTTTGTAATGTGCGCGGTTTTATTGCGGACTCATACGAACAGATGGATACCTGTTTATCTTCTTATCCGACACAACTTTAAATTACGATTAGCCACTTCCGGAAGCACAGACATCTTGTAAGAAACAGCAAAAAGCATTAATCGTCGCACAGCGAAGACCCCCACCTATCTCCTATCTTATTAAGCTGCTTATAAGCAACTTTTTACGCATATGTATTTTTAAATTCCCAACTATTCAATATCCTTAACGAACCAATCATCAATTGCACTTCCTACTCTTTCTATATAACAACATCTTTTAAACGGAAACCGTTCGTTTAAAACGCGCGCAAAAATTATAATTATAATCACCAAAGCAATTGTTTGAGTGCTTTATCAACGCAAACGCCGTTGCAGTTTGTCAATTGGATGTTACTGACTATGTCACAAAGAAAGGCCTAATTTTGTTTTAAAAAAAAAATCTCTTACCACTTGTTTAATCTGTTAAATTTTTTCCAAAAAAAAGTCTTTTTGAATTCCTTATTCAGTCGACAACACGAATTACATTGTATTTGCCTTGGCTTTTGCTAGATGCTTACGATGAGGAGTAAAAATACAAGAGTACCTACCAATTGCACAAACTAGTCATCGAAGGCATAGCAGACATAGCACTTTCGATATAACAAACCGAAAGACGAATTTAGCGTACAAAATCAATCTTCATGGGTGAATCTAGTGAGGAAATATGCAGGAAAGCTTCAGTTCATACTTTCCTCTCTTTGACTTCTTTTAGGTGCCGTTTTAGTCTTTGGAACTGCAATGTTGTAGTGTCTGTTATTGATTGCAAACGTTGCCATTCTTCGTTAAATAATAAACAATTATGGAAAATGTTAAAGATTTGCACTAATACCCGAAATGAAAATCGGATGAATTTTTCTTTTAAATTTTGTGTGTAGGTTTTCTTGAAACGAAAATCGGATGAATTTTCCTTTTAAATTTTTGGTGTAGGTTTTCTTGAAACGAAAGTCGGGTGAATTTTTCTTTGATACTTATTTATTGTTTCTAAGTACGATATTGTTTCTTTACAAACGATGTTTAGCAATATCGTGCAATGAGGGAAGAAAAAAAAACAGTATTGTTATCCCATAAAAAATTACTGTAATTATTTAATAAAATCTATTGAAAAAGAAGAAAATCAAAAACAAAAAAATTTTAAATAAATAATAAACAAATAAACGTAAATTTTATAAAAGGACATTGATCTTGTTTTCTAAAATGTCTCCGAAAATTTCAATCGAACAATAGAAAAGAAAACAATAATAAATAAATAAATAAATCATTTATTTTCAATTTATTTAAAATTAAATTAATAATAATATGCTTCAGGAACCTGCAACGCACCCAAATCTGTTGAGTATTTTGAACATGTACATAGCGCATTAAATGTGGGAGGTGGATATCTCATCGCCTCTTCTATTGTGTAGTAGTATTTTTTTTTGGGGCCAATTTTGTTTAAGGTATCTTGTATCTTCTTCCAATGCCACTCCTTCTCTTTTTTGCCCTCTATAAATTTAGTTTCTCTCAGCAAACGATAAGCATCTTCTTTTGAGGCCTTGTAACACTATCCTTGAAATAAAATATTGAAAATCTTGAAATTAAGAAACGAAAAGAGAGGCAAAAAATTCGAAAAATTGCACACAAAAATTCTAATTCTGAACAAATACAGATTAACTTTTTCAATTTTTCTCAGATGTGACCAAATTCATAGTCGTTTTTTCAATGCAACAGCTGTTAACAAATACAAACTGACTCTTTGAATTATTCTCAATTGTAAGCAACTACAGACGCTTATTCCAAGATGTGATCAAATATAGACGCTTGTTCTCAGATGTGACCAAATTCAGACATTAGGACAAAGGCTGATCAATAAAAATCAGTACTACTATATGAATATGTTTTAAACAATATACGCGCCTTAACTAACTGCTTAAAGCTGTAGACAAGTGGTTCATTGCCATTATTGTTGCTATCTGTAAGTGAACGTATTTCCCCAAAATTAGTTGGCATGAAAGCCTCCACAATAGGTACAGACAAATTTGACTAAAACAATTCAAAATATTTTGTGAACCAAGATTACTTGATCGAATCTCTGATAGCGTTCCAACATAATATTAGCGGGAAATCATTCGCAGTAATATTTTTTTTTATGTTTCCAGCCATTATCCGATTTATTCGAAATCAAAAGCAAACGCAGCAGCATTAATAAAATTTTCGATTTTTTATGACACCATCGTTGTTCACAATTTAACGCGTCAACAACACTTGTGATTACTGCACTTCTTTTTATTGTCCTTCAATATGTCTTCTTGCTCATTTTGGTTCTTTTTATTCTTGTTAGTCAATTTTTCACCGTATTTGAATTTTGTCATGAAGAAGAATAACATCATTCATGTGTTCATAGTTTTCTGTTAAACGTCTAGAGTTGCCTACCAAATTGCACGGATTTTCAGGATTCCTTTGCCAATAATAAGTAGAATCTCTGTTAAATATAATCAGTCAATAATAGGTGGAATCTTAGTTAAAAAGATTTGAGCTTATTTTCATTTTTTAAAAAATACCATGTGTTGAGAATATAAAGAGAAACTATATTGTTCATAGTGCATATCAACAATATTAACATAATATTAATGTAATTTGCATTTTTATTACAGCATTACAATCAACTGTTGACGAAGAAAGAGACTTCAATTAAAAAATATGAAATATGAATATGAAATAATTACAGTCGTTGAAGATGAGTAAAAGCGAAGTTTTATAATGAAGTGAAGTAGCCTAAAATATTGGTCTACATTGAATAATAATTATTACTTTTTAAGTCTACGTTTGTTGATATTTTGACATTCTACATTCTCTCTAATCATTTGAACGGTTCTCAAATTAATTTTATTAATATTTTAAGTAGTTTAATAAAACAAGGATACGGATAAATATGTTTTTGGAAAGTCTCACAATAGGTGCCCGGTCGAAGAGAAAAAACCACAATTAGCAATATGTACATATGATTGCCTGCTAAAACATTACTAAAAAACAAACGCATCCAATATATTTATTGTAGATACATATATATGTGCAACATTTAAAGTAGAGAAGAAAAAACATTAAAGACTAAAACATTTTAAGATTTTGAATGTAAGCATAAATATTATATATATAGATAAGCACATATAGAAACAATAAACTTCGGTTTTCATGTTTTTAAGTTCATACGATTTGTAAACTGTGGTTTTCTACTAGTTATTGGCTCGGCATATTGGGTAGAAGTCATAGAAGAACTCTAAAACTATGATACGATATAAACTATATATAATATAAAAAATGGAAAACAAATGTTTTTATTTAAAAATGTTCTATTTATAAAAAGTCAACGAATGGTATAATTGCTTGAAAGCACAACATATCTCTACAGAATTGATGAGCAAATAGAATGAAGGCTATTGCTAGCAAACCCATTCAGTCACAAATGCGAATGTTCAATATGTAAAAAGAGCTGCAGATTTTTCAATGGGTGGCATGTAAAAAGAGCTGCAGAATGTTTATAAATCAATGGGTGGTATGTAAAAAGAGCTCCAGGATGTTCAATAGACTAGTTTTCATGAAAACTCAATTTATCAAAGGTGTGATTTTCGTAACATTATTTACGATTTCAAAAAAAATTACCTTTATAATCAAATAAGCCTTTATTCGCTTTTAGAAACATGACGTATCCTGCACGTATTCTCTACGTACCACCACTTATTTACCGGGCAACTCTTCTCTGCTTATCTTGACAAAATAGAATGCAGGCGACGGGCTTTTAAAGAGGTGCATGAGATTTTGTATATATCCTTTGCACAATCTATAGGTTGTGGGTGGGCACACGGACAGACCGACTTCGAAATCGCTTGCTGGCAGCAGAAAGGCGAAAAACGCTACATAAAAGAATAATCATAACCGATACGCAATTGCGGAAGAAATATTTAAAATGTGTTACACTTCTGTATATGCTTCCCTAAATGTTTAAAATGCTTGAAGAAAAGCAAGCGAATTGCAATGATTTGAATCAATCGCGAAATTAATGGCCTTCTGTGGAACAAATACTGAATTTAACATACCAGGAGTAACCGCACGCTTCTCTTGTTCTATTATTAAGCAAATTAACCGAAAATTCGCTGGCATGTGTAAAAATGGCCCAATATGTACACAGAATTTTTTGTTTAGGCAGTAGTAAAGTTGGGGTATACGATGTTATTATTTATTTATTTTAACGTTTGTTTGATTAAAAATGTTGTTAGTTTTGCGTTTTATACGTCCGAATAGAAGTCGTCTCATTCGGAGAGACAAATCGAATATAGTCAGGAGATTGTAAGACTCGACATATGTATAAAAGGTTGTTTACTATGTTAATTTTGAATAGACGATCATTACATCTTGTGTGATTGAACTTCGGCCTGTTAACAAAAAAATAATGTTACGTGAAATAAAGAATATAAATGACGTCAGGAATCACAGCGATCATTAAAATGGGATGGTC